ACCCAGCCCAGCAGCTGCAGAAGTAAGAGAGCGTTAAACTCCCATGCTCCAACAGCAAAGCCACTGGCAGCTCCTGATCCAGCCAGGCCTATGAAGTGCTCACTGCCAATGTTACTGACAAACAGTGATGCCCCAATGACTATCCACGTCATAGACCGTCCTGCCAGGAAGTAGCCACTAACAGTACTCCGGTTGGCTTTCCACGTGGCAAAGAATCCGATGAGTAAAACCAAAACAAAGTACAGTGCCACCACCGCTATGTCTGCAGCTTCCATTCCAGGAGCCATTGTATGCTTGAATATATGTTATCCAATATTTCAAGGAAAATTGTGCTTGTTTACGCAGGGAACAGAAGCAGTAGTGTTCTCCGTCACTGTTTGCTTCAGAAGACACAATCCACTGGGACAGAGGTCGATCCTAGATATAGCAGACGCTGCGGGAATCTGGCTTAGAAAAACCTAGAATTTACTTTCCTGCAAGACAGCAAAAATATAGAAAAAAAACACCATTAGCTATGTCAAATCCTTTCATACTTGAATCACAAACAAGCAACAACTAAACCAGCAATTCAAAGGTTGCCCACATAAAGAGAAATGCCAAATGCACAAAGCATTTGCAACTAATTTACTGTATGGTGCACAACTTATGAAAACATATTTTACAACAATAACACTTCATCATAATAATAATTGCTTAAAAATGGAAAAATACATGGGAAAATATTGTTTGCAGTTACTCTCAAATGTTGTATTTTAAGATTTCAGCTCGCAGTGCATAATAAAATTATAGGCCTACCAATTGTTTTTAAATTTAATAACAATTAAAATAACGATGCCTTCGTTTTCAATTTCAAATAGGACATCACACATGTTATCAGAGACTTTTCCAGAATCAGTAGAAGAGATTATCGTCAGGCTCCGGGGATAAGTAATGAGGTATGTAGAGCTGATAAAGGAAATGTCTAGAAGTCATTCATTCCGGATGTAGCAGATAGATCAGCAGCGTACTTACTGTAACTTAAAATCAAAGTTATACGTGCTTGAAGTTTGTCAGTGTTTAGCAAGAAGAGTCATTTCCCTGCTTTGGGTAAAAATAATAGCAAAACGTTACTCTGTCACGAAAAGGGAAAGCTCTCCTCCCCGTCTAGCATGACCGCTGTGCAAAGACACAGGCGCTCCGTCAAAACACACGCATCACAATCTATACTCATGCAGTCTTTCACGCCTAAAGCAGAGCAATAGTTATTTGTATTTCAAGGTAAAACATATACCATTTATATCGGACTAGCAGATACAAGAGATGCTACAACATCCACGCCCCAAAACGAATGATGCAGGAAGCGGCGACCTCCTTGGCGATCCAGGGAAGCTCGGCAGAACCTCGGCTGGTGGGTAGATCAGATCCCGGGTTGAGGACACTTGGAGTTTTATCTTCTGTCTCTGGGAGTTGTGGATGTTTGGGAGAGGTGTGACGAAGGGTTGATGGACTTCTCTCTCCTGACGCCAGGTCCACGCCCCCAACACGTGTTCCCATGATAAGTTGGTATCATTGTCATAGTGCGTCACAGGCAAAGACCGTAAGTATGAATATTAGGTTCTGCAAAACGATCAAACTTAGATTTAGTTCATTAGAATAACTGAGAACATTAAGGATTAATCAGTAACATGTGTTAATTTGTCAGATCTTCAATGTGTTTCCAAACAAAAGTATTTTGGAAATACCCCATAATATCTATGTAATTTTTGTCAACTAAAGACAGGCATTGTAGCCCATATTGCATTGTGTTATGCATGTGGCCAACGCTCTGTCGTAAACAAAGATTAGTTCAATCAACAAAAGTCACAGCTCGTGAGATAGTGGGAGGGAATCGGGAAATTTCCATTCCATGTTCGAGAAATAAATGTTGTAAATTTCCATTCGTGAGAAACTGCATTTCCCACGAATCTTTGCGCAGAAATGTGCTACACGAGTGCCCCCTATCGTTAGAGATGCGCATGAGTATTCTTGATATTAAAATGCAAATATAAAGTATTACGCCATACTCTGGTACAAGAATGGTTTGGATTTTCTTATTTCTCCACATATGTTCTTTATGGTTGTAAGTTTATACATTTATATGCCAATGTAATAATTCCTCTGGAATTTGCCAATTCAAACCACTTTGAAATAAGAGAGCTCAATTTTATTTTTGGGACTAATTTATGTTCTTTCATTCCACAGTCTAATGGTTTTTAGACATTTGAAGCTATTTTCATTGTCATTGTTGGCACCTGCATTGGCACTTAGTAGCTTGTATAAGTATGTCATATTTTAGATATGGCATAAGTTGCAATCATACAGTGGTGGTAAGACTATTAGAGCCACAGCTGCCCTGGGGTAAGTGGAGCACCCGAAAGAAACATATGCAGACAGTTTACCCACGTGTCAAACCCTTCTTGCTGCGAGTACTCACACAAATGTTTAGATGCATTCACCATTATAAATTATGTAAATTATTATGAACCTAAACTTGCTTAATGTCCAAACGAAACCATATCCACATCATGTCCGAGTACAACAACGGTAAAGCGCTTTGTGACTCTGGTCTCTGAAAGACAATATATAAATAAATTCAATTCAATTTTTCAATTCAATACTTTTTTTCGGACACAAGAGTAAAAGCTCCATATTAGAAGACATACAACAACAAGAACAACAACAAAAAGACAATCTGTGGGACTATTGCTTTGTAGTTTCCTTGCCAAGGAGTCTGCCTTGAGGCTATTCTCTCTCCTTCTAATAAATCGTAGGGCATATTTACAGTTTGCATTTGCTTTCTTCATATACTCAAATACAGGATCACTCTTGGGTCTGTCAGATGCCACCCAAGCTTTAAAGGCCCTTCTAGTCTCAGCATGTAATCAGGATGTTGTTATTCCTTCAAACAAGCACTTAAAAATAGTGAAAAAGTCATAAAGGCATGCATAAAACATCTTTATACAATTATAGACATTTAACAGTGTAGGTTATCAATATGTGTTTGATACGTGTATGATATTATAATGTAGTGGAAGTGGGCTTTGTTGATGAGGGATAGTCGGCTCCCACAAGAAAAAACAAGTTATGTGTTAATAAAACATGTTTAGACAGGGTAGCATTACACACTCAGATGTCCAAAATCTTATTTATTCATGACGTTTTGGCTTTATGCCTTCACCAGATCATGTTTTTCTTTTTCTTTTGACCACAAAATACAAAGTGGTTGCCAGCCCAGGTGCTCAAATGCCTGCAAATAAGCCTCCCACTTATTTTGATTCTCACATTTGCACTTCATTAATGATTTTTTTGGTGTGCGATACCTGCTCTTTCTACAATAAATACGTTGTCTATATTCAAGTGAAAGTTTGTGTAAGTTAGTGTTTTTAGAACTTACAATCTGACCCTCACTCCCAATGTTACCATTCATGTACTCAGCCAATTCACTTAATCAGATATTTAATCTGTCCGGGTACATTTTATTTACTAAATATATGTACAGCTATACATATTGTTTGTACTTTATTCCAACTGTTCTTTAAATCTGTGAGATCTGTGATAACGTATTAATTTTAGTGACTATACGTCAAATAAACTATCAAACTAAATCTTAAGACCAAACAAACTCAGTGGGTATGTGGTTTACACAGTCAATTTAACAAACAAAGTTTCTTTTAAAAAGTATAAAGTTTATATAAATTTGTAGGCTGCATCAACTCTAACTGTTAAAAAACCATTGGCCTTCCTAAACGCGAAGGCCCTCCCTGTACTGCCCACATCGGTGCCACTCAACTAAACTAAACCCAATATAATCTCCATCCATCCATCTATCTATCCTCTACCCTTTAATCCATTTCTGGGTCAGGGGGGTGGCAATCAGAGATGCCACCCAAGTCTCATAGCACCAGCCCCTCACTGATCCTCTGCAGGTGGTGAGTCCACAGGAGGACGGCTGCTCTCTAACTGTGAGCATAGCCTTGATCTTTCAGTGGGCAAAGTGGGGTTAAGTGTCTTGCCCAAGGACACAACGACAGCAGTCATCAGTGGGAGTCGGTGGAGAAGGTGTAGAGGTGGGAATTGAACCCAGAGCTAATGCTCTACCAACTGAGCTACTGTCGCCCCTCACAATTGTAACTTATAATTATAATATATATAATATAATTATAATTTGAGGGGCAATATAATCTCCTCTACAAAAATATCTAAATGACCAAAAACTAAAAAATTGGCTAAAATCTACTAAATATAGAGAAAAATCCAAATACATTAAATACATTCAGCACACAAAACAAATAGCTCCTACATTAATATTGACACAGATCTTTGGAGATTAGTGTATTTGCGCAGTCAAGTCATGGATCTAGAAAACGCTCTGTGAGCATGTCTGTACTATAGCGCCATCTACTGACACATCGAGAAAACAACAAAAATAAGTCCACTGTATTATTATCTTGTGGCAGTTCAATGGTTCTTAGTGTGTCTAATCATCCCCCCTCATGTGTACTGTGTACCTAATAGATCCATATGGATCAAATCTCTTGAGACACAGGGCCCAAATATCTGACAGAGAGGTGAGAGGTTCGTTAAGGCTGCACATCCTGGACCGTACCACCGCCCGGGGGTAGTGTCTCCACTGGATCAACACTGTTTCAACACTGCTGAAACAAATACTGCCTATATAGCTCCAGACCTGCGTCTATGCAAATTATAATTTGTCTTGACTTCTTGGCTTACTTTTAGAAGTAGATTAGCAAGTCACCAGTTCTCTCACACACGCCGCACTCCTCTACCAGGAAGTGGGCTGTCCTTCCTCCCAGCACTGATCAGCTGAGCCTCCCGCCCTCGTCAACCTGTGCGCACTGTTGTTGTGACCATTACACGTATTTTTTTAACATCTTCGGGACATATTTGATTGAATTCTGTCAAATTTGATCAAAACATACCTTGGATTCTGTTTCGACACTCGGATCAATTCGACGGGATAGATGCGCCTCTTCGTGTGCTATGCTGGTGAGTCATTGATGCACCTGATTGCTATGTATTCAAGACTTGTCTCTTGTAATTGTATTATTATGTCTAGTGTGGCTTCTCTGCTCAATACTGATTTAGGGAAACTTACAATTATCTAAAATTGATGCAACGTTGGTCATTTTAATGTAGCAGAATCGTGTTATTTGTCGCAGCTTTACATATGTTTGCTCTTTAGGTAGATGCATAAATAGTAGTTGTATAAAACATATTATACATGGTCATTAGTGAGGTATGGATGAGTATGGCGTGTGAGCGGTCCTCTTACATAACAGTGCTATTGATGCTGTATTCACGGTCAGTGCAGCAGCCTTCTGTTATCTCCCTTGTCCAGTGCGGTACTGTGTGGACAGTGTACGCGCTAATGTCCTCTATGTCAGTCACTTTCTGCTCAGAGCCCCGTCACAGACACCTACATCTCTTCATATACATCAACGTAGGGATGTACCGATCCAGATTTTTTGTTATCCGATCCGATCCCTATATTCTTAAATATTGTTTTGCCAATACGATCCAATTTTTTCTAACATTTTCAAAGCATTAAAGATTTTGCAACCAGTATTACTTTAATGTGTGTTTTTTTTAATTATTATTACATGACCAAAAATATTGTTTGGCTTTTGCTTAAACAGACCTACTGAGTTAGATCATAGGTAAGAATCAAATCAGTATAGAATATTTCACCTTTATCATAAACTTAACCTAAAAGAAATATCAAAGAGGAAAAATTATGAAAAAGCTGCCCTCAACATTAAGTATAACAAAAAGAAAAGAGCTGGTACATAACTGAAGGACCACAAAAAACCAGTACTTAACCAGTGTGTGAACTCTGTTTATGTAAACTCTCCGATAGCAAAAATAATCAACCACAACAAGGCATTTGTGCTAAATCAACTCAAAACAATAATAAAGAATAGAGGAAGGTACTGCTTTTAATTGCTGGTGCAGCAGCAGCAACAATTCACCATGCATACAGAATCTTATTCCAAATACAAAATTCAAAAGGGGAGTTTTACATTGTATTTAGTGTACGGCAGCGGTAAAGCGTGAGCATACTGAAAAGTTGTGTAAATCGGCTTCATATTTAACAAATCCGATAATATCTGATCCTTACAAAATACCCATATCGACCCCCAAAACCGATACTGAATATCAGATCTGTACATCCCTACATCAACCTTTCTCTCATATCTAATTACAATTTTCAAAATGCATAGAGAAATAACAATCACTCCACAAATCTGGCCTGTCACTATGTCCATGGAAATAGTGTATGAATCTCCACCAGAAAAGTTACAGTCCATGCACTTATTATGAGGGTATTTGTTTACAGTATTTTGTTTGGCCAGTCAACATATTAGGAACTGGAACTACAATCTGATCACATTAACAATAATTGATCATTTCTTCTTTATGCTACAACATTGATTTCTTGTTCAATCTCTATGGGTCTTTCCTTTTGAGTGCATTTCTGTGGAAGTCCTAATGGGAGTTCTGGCCGAGACAACAGCACTGATCAGTTGCATCAAATTCAATAAAACATCCACAAAAACCTTTCAGCGTGAAATTCTCTCAATTTTAGCTGTGTTGAAAAGAAAAGGGGCAAACTATAAATGTGATCACTCAGAAAAAAACAGTTTATTGTTGGTTGTTGTTTGCACCTTAGTAAAAAGACCAAGTCGATCACGCAAACACAGACTTCTCTTGAATGAGATCATTTGTACGTCAGCCAGCTTGTGCTTCACCAACGACACAGCTCTAATTAAATAATGTTATTTACATATAAACCCGAACCAGGCTCAGAGGAACTGGAATGTTGAGCTGTTTGCGTACAGATGTTTATGTTCTTATGTTCTGTGCCTCTTTTTGCAGATTTTTCAGTTGGACAAGGTGATATTATACTAATTCATTATGGATCCCGAGGAAGTAGAGTTGATGAATGACTACCGCTACAGGAATTATGCATCAGTCATTGAAAAAGCACTACGGAACTTTGAGTCGTCCACAGAATGGGCAGATCTCATCTCCTCTTTGGGCAAGCTTAACAAGGTATTTTTTACTGCTAAATAACCCAATTCCATTTTGTCTGAATGTAAAACTTATATATTTGAGTGGAGGTTTACCTTATCTCAGCTGCATTCATGTTTCACTTCTCTGTGTATAACTCCATAGTTTCACAATCTTGTTCTATCTTGAGGATCATGCCTTTGGCCAATGCAACGTAGCATGAGGATATTTGTTTTGGAGTGTCTGCAGTAACAAGTGACATTTGCCTTAACTGCTTATATTTATCCTAATTGTTTCTATTTGCACAGGCATTACAAAGTAATCTTCGTTACTCCCTCCTTCCAAGGAGGCTAATCATAGGAAAGCGTCTGGCACAGTGTCTGCATCCAGCTCTCCCCAGTGGGGTTCATCTAAAGGCCCTTGAAACCTACGAGGTCATCTTTAAAATCATTGGGACCAAATGGCTTGCAAAAGATCTGTTTATTTACAGGTAGGTCCATCATTAGTCTATCTGCTCAGGGTGGACCACGACTAATGTCTTGGCTTTTGGTTTTCAGCTCAGGCTTGTTTCCTCTGCTGAGCCACGCTGCCATGGCAGTGAAGCCCGTGCTTCTTGCTCTGTACGAGCGTTACTATTTACCAATACAACGAGCCTTGCTTCCCAGCCTTCAAGCTTTCATAACTGGACTGCTGCCTGGTCTTGAAGAAGGTCTGGAGGTGTATGACAGGTGCAAAGATCCCTCCCTTTCTCAATGTAAATTTGACAACAGAGGCCTTTTCATGAATATTAACATATTGTTTCTCATTCAGAACTGATGCATTGCTGTTGAAGTTATCGCTGCTGGTTGGACAGCAGGTTTTTTACGGCGCACTCTGGGGTTGTGTTTTGGTTAGTCCAATGGTTCGACTTCCAGCTTCAGTGTTCATTGTCACTCACTTTGACCGCATGGTGTGCCTGAGTCAGCAGACGTATATGCTGGGCTATGATCACCATCTTGTGGTAAGTAACCATTAATGAAACTGTATGCGTGCGTGTTTTCTGACCTCTGATTCTCCACTCAGGTGAAGTCATTGAGTCTTTCTTTACAAGATTCCAATGTCCTTGTCCAGAGAAACATGCTAGAGGTCCTGCTCTACTTTTTCCCCTTTGCTACATGTCTGGTGTGTATAATATTTTATAAATGATCAAAGGCCCTTTATTTCACATCTGTCCCTCATGGTTCCAGTTCAATAAAGCATATTGCTTTATAGTATGTTGTCAAAGCCATAAAACACATGCTGTTCGTTGCTCAGAATCCGGTTGAGGCCAGTATTGCCATGAGTGTGGAAGCCTTGATGTCCCTGGTCTCCGCTGCACTGCTCACACTTCTCCGCAGAGACATGTCCCTCAACAGACGCCTTTATGCCTGGCTTTTAGGTATTACAAATTTGAGTTAGTAGAGTATGTTCAGTGATAACTACAACATGTGTAATGTGCTATTTTATTCAGGCACAGATATTAAAGGTGGCATGGTTGCCCCTCACCCAGCCCTTTCTACAACAGTTGAGGAGCATACAACATTCTACTTCAATACATATTCTAAAAGTTACCTTGTGCAGGTAATAATGCCAAATACAATTGGCTTTACTGCTTGTTTGAATGTATAGTAAAATAAAATGATATCTTCCAGGCAATGTTTAATATTATAAAACAAAAAGACATGGAGTCAGACCCAGAGAAGGTGGTTGGGTATCTGAGGCCGTTTCGCATTCTGATGAGCCTCCTGGATAAACCAGAAATAGGTGCGTGTTTTGTATTTTATTTAAGATATTTTGCCCTTTACATTTAAGATTTGGACCACTTACCATGTATATTATATTTGTTCTGTATGTATAGTACGGTAGTTGTATCATCTAAATATTATTGTTGCTTAGGTCCGCTGGTTTTGAGCAATGTTTTACTGGAGTTGGTTCGAGCCTTCTACAGCTCCTGCAGAGAAATGCTTGGTGAGGAAACTATCAGCAGCTCAGGACTTTCAGGCAACCACTTAGCCAGGTGAGCGCCAGATAATGATGGAGCGATTTGCTTAATGCATGCACTGTACAATGCAAACTGATGTTGAAGCTTTCTCCATCTTTCTAAAACAGCAAGATAAAAGAAAACAAGAAGGCCTCTGAGATTATTAAGACGATGAATATGCTCATGAGCACGATGAACAGTGAATATCTGTGGGAATATATGACACGTCGCTTCTGTACGGCCCTGAGGTGAGGCATGCAGCAAAGCCACAACTACAGATCTTTTTGTTTTCTCTTCTCTATTTTCATTCTTCTAAACGGAACTTACTGGCTACTTTAAATACAGCACATCTAACAACTGTGATACGATATGACAGTAGAAAACTTTCACTTCCTTAAACACTGAAGGGTTATTTTTGAGAGCAGACTGTATGGTATTATTGTGGTCATAGCATATAATGTAATAATGAAATAGTTCTCAAATCTTTCTTACTAAATCAAAAGTAAAGGAATTAAATTCTTCATGATTCACTTTGAGAACAGAAGCTTTACTTGGCCTTGTTTTTTTATTTTCTCAATTTGTTGGAACTAAAAAATTATATTCTCCTTTCAGTGTGGTACATATTTGTAATAATTTGTAGGTATTAAGGGTTTGGAGTCTGTTTTTAATTCTATTTTCCAGTTCCAAAGATGACCCCCCAAAACCTCCAATGCCAGACTGCAGTCACCCTGCTACATCCGTCTCGGAGATGTCTAAGCTCATTATCTTTCTGCTCGACATTATACCTTTGGTAAATACTCATTCATGTGCCGTGACTGTGTCTTTAAACCATACCACCACATTGTTTAATTCAATTCGTCAAAACACTCACACACACTCATAACATGTTAGAAATATAGAATAATATTGGCGACTCGCTTCCGTCATCACCGTGTACTGTTTGTGCGCTTATTATTATTTTACAAAGTGTAAAGTTTAAATTAAACACAATGTCCGTAAATCTTCATCAGACGTCAATGGTGTGCGTGTTACTATGGTTACGCCTCAGGTGGAGTGATATAAACCTGTAATTCAACATGAAAACAGTATTAAATAACAGTAGTTTGAAATCCTCAATGACCATGGTATAGATAACATTTGCCACATTTTTATTATAATGTCTTTGAGTCGCCCCTTGTATTTGCATTCCATGAATTCTGATTTCTTACACAGGAGTTGCACGCCGACATTCAGTCCCAATTTCTGCCTGAAATGTTGGGCACAATGTTGAGAGCGCTGCAGAGCAATATCTGCTCACTGAGTTTGGGGGATGTCACCCAAAGTCTGCGGGCCTGCTTCAAAGTTCTTAGTAAGATCCAAATGCCTGTGTCTTACATGGACGGGGAGGCAGGGACCAGCACGCAAGAGATGTTCTCCCAGATGCAAGAGAGGAGTGACAATAGCAAGGTTGGGTATTTTATTTACTTTCCATGTTTACACAACCCCTAGATCTTTGCAACGGAAAGGGAAGCAGAATAAGAAGTTGATTTACCATAAATGCGGCCTCAGGGGAAATGAAAGTCAATATAGTGCACATTCAAAAGGGAACAGTGTGATTGTGTTTCAAGCATCAGGTGTAATGAGATGTTGGCTAAAAAGGCTCCAGTTTGACAATATTAGGCTTAACTTGTGTTATGCCAAAGAATGTAAAAGTCAATTCTCTGACACCATACGCGGCAAATTGTTTTGACGTTGTTTCTTTGCATTAACAGAGCGTTCCTGACAATGGGGAAAAGGCTGCCAACGGTCATCTTAATGGTCAGTGCGGAGACACAAATTCCAACAGAAACAGTGCAGATGAGGCAGAGTCTGGTGTTTATGCACCGCTCCGGTCTGAAGACAGTGGTCTGGGAATTAGTGCATCACCCTCAGAACAACTTTTGCCACCGATGATTGGAACGCAGACTGAGGAAAATAAAAGTATCAAAGACAGCGAGAGAGTGTGGCGGAAAGGTGGAAGTGTTCACAGCTTTGTCCCATGCCTTCAGGACATTCTTGCTTTCTTAAGCACCAGGTAAACAAGTGAAGTCATTTAACGATACTATATAACCGGATACATGACTTTTCATTCTGACATTGCAGATACCTGCTTGTTCAGGTGGAAGAAATCCACAATTCGGAGGAAGAGTCCCAGCCGCCCCTTTCCCCTTCTCCTGTGGACCAAAAGAACCGTCCACCTGGAAGAGAAATTAAAGACAAACTTGCTGGGCTCTTTGTTTCAAATATTTTGAAACCTCGATTCTCCACTGATGACGCTGCCTCAGTGGAGCTGCAGACAGCCGCCTCTGATGAACAGTTTAAAAAGAAAAGGGATCGTTTGTCTCATGGCTGTCTGCACTGGGGAGAGGGTTATATGCCCAGAGGAAAAGGAGACATTTCTGAAGACTGTCGTCAGGCGTTTACAGCTTCTTGTCATCTCCTACTAGAATGCATTACATTTCCGATCTACCTAAGTGAAGAGGAGACACTTACTCTCTACACAGACATGTTTGGTCACTCCGGTCAGTATAATCAAGTTATGCTACACAGATATGACTTCAGTGATTTTACTCTGCGTTTCTCGTCTTCTGTAGGTTGTATTGTTGAAGATTTGCCAGTGTGGCTGAGATCATTGATGATACTCTGCTGCCTGTCAAGAGACTACTACATCCAACACACAGCTGTGGCCACGCTGTTGGAACTCATAAACCATTCTCAGTCTTTAGCACTGGTTATTCAGGACAAACAGAAGCGATACCAAACCTCAGACTCCAATCCTCTGAGTGGTAGGCTACAGATGGTCACAGAGCCGCCCGTTTACCCTGCGGTCCTCAGAGCTATCGAGATAGAAACCGATTTCTATCAGGTCAGAAACCTTTATCTCCAAATTCCTTCTCAGTCTTAGATCCATGTAATCTGCCAGTATCTATAGACAAAATGACTAATTTTCTGTATTTTAGCGGATGTCCCAAGTCCTGTGGTCGCAGCTGGACACAGAGCGCAAAGAACAGCACATTTCCTGCGTGGATCTTTTCTTCAGGCTCCACTGTCTGGCTCCATCTTCATCAATATGTGAAGACATCATTTGCAACGCACTACTAAACCGAGACAAGGTATTCTTTTTGGGATGTACTGCAAATAAAGGCTGAAAAACCAGTCTCTGCATACATGTGACGAGACACTGACTGAGAGGTCTGTGTGCTTTTCTCAGACTGTCAGACTAGAGGCGTTACACCGCTTCACAGTCCTTTGGCATCTAACCAGAGAGACCCAGAACAGCAGATCTCTGTCCCTCAATCGCTCATTCGATAGGTGTGAAAATACATTATGTATTTATTTTTATTATATACATACTTGTATATTTGATTGTTTATGTTGTCTTTGTCAGATCGCTGTGTGTGGTAGTGGACAGCCTAAACTGCACAGATGGCTCCATCGCTGCCGCCGCTCACTGTTGGTTGGTCAGGGCTCTGTCTCTTAACGATGTGATCAGAATCCTGGAGCCTGTTCTCTTGTTGCTTCTTCACCCATCCACTCAACGGTGCTGTATCCAGAATGTGAAACAAAATCTTACTGCCGGTAACAGAAAAAAGTTCAAAACATAAAACTTTTACAATGTGGAATGTGCATGTGATCAGGAGAGTATATTTACAGGAAACCTGAAGATCTTGAACAGCAGAAGCCGGAGCTCAACAAAAACGTCTACAGACACAATGGCAACTGAAGTTACAATTTTTAACATAAACAATATCCTTGATCGAGAGTCCCTCTGGATGGAATTGGACAGTGGTCCTGATTTGCCAAAAGAATCTGAAGTTTTACCTTTGTCTCAAAGTGACAGTGAAGGGACTGAAGAGGAGGAAGAGCAGGATGATGAAGATGTGAGTGAACACACTGAGTCTGCCGACACCAGTGGGGCACAAGTGTCCACAGAAAACTCCAGTTCTGGCTCTGCAGTCTATCGCATCAGTGAGGAGGGAGCCATGGTCAATGGGCTGCACAGGGTGGAATCTGAGAGGACACAAGCTTCTGATTCACTGTCAAGCGAGGATGAAGACCAGGAACTGGAGGCAATGGCAAGATCTCGTCTCCTAAAGCAGGAGCGTGACAAGAGGGAGGCCATCGACTCGCTGTTCCGCCATGTGCTGCTGTATCCTGTGTCAGGAGGATGGCCCTACCTCCTCCAGGGCCTCACATTGTTGCACAGTTTACTCAAAAGCAATGCCCACTCCGACCTGGTAGATGCTCTTTCTGCTTCCTCTCTGGACACAAGCTCAGCTGCACATTTAAACCTCATTTCAAATCTTTTACAACGTCACCAACAGTCGCAGGATGGAAAATGTTTTTATGGCTCTCTCCAGACCCCCAGCTCCTCTCCCTCCACCGTGCCTTCCCTGCTCATAGAACTGCTTGTCTCATTGTGCTTGAGTTTGCTGCGCTCTCATTACCCCTCCTACCTCAGCTTGGGACCTCAGGATCTGCAGGGAAACAGAGAGGTTCAAGTTAGGAGCGTGGAGGTCCTGACCCAGATTATGAACCAGCTCCACTGTATGGCCCGTGCAAACAACAGCCCCACCCTCGACCTGATCCGAAAAGTACTGCTTGATTCCAAAGTGCAGCAATATGCCCTACTTACTCTGTCCGCATCTATGTATGTCAGCCAGAGAGGAAGCGAGAGGGGAGTGAAGGCTGTTGAGTTGCTTGGAGAGGATGGAGGTTTGGCTGAAGAAAATTTAATCAATCTTGGTGGTTCAGGGGGAGCACATGAGCAATACCCTTTGCAAATGGCATTACTAAAACTGCTCCAGTCTCTTATTGTACTTGAATGTCTTGTATGTCCAAGTGGTATTGTTGCTAGCCAGCCTGGAGACGCTAGGGAAGTTCCAACACCGAGCACGCCACTAACACGGGAATGGCAAACGGCTGTCCTCTTTCAGCAGTCTATTAAAGCATCTCAGTATATACAGAATCAGCCAATCACAGCCCAGGGAATGTTTGTCTCTGCCGCAGCGAGAGCTTTGCAGCCACAGTACGGTTACGCCATGCATCCGCACTGGGTGTCACTGGTGTGCTCCTCTTTGCCCTACCTGGGGCGCTCTCTGGGCATCATTGTGACTCCTTTTGTCAGTCAGATCTGCAAGAACTTAGATGAGCTCGTCAAGCTGTATGAACACGATGGAGCAAAGACTTTACAAAGGTGGGTTGTAGAAAAATACCTATTTTACTTTTCAAAAATTGCCAATGACAAAATCTAGATGATGTTTTAGTATATCAAGTATTCTGCCATTGTTTGTACTTGTAGAAAAGAAAACATCGCTCCTGATTATGTCCTGACCCTTCTGGAAGGTCTGACCACCATCACACACTTCTGTCTTCTGGATACAAAAAAAGTGAGTACAATAAAATAAAGCTACACATGCCTCAAATCTGAAATCAAGAATGCACACTGTAGCAAACAATGATTTTGGTTTAATTGCAGTCCCACATATATGAGGCTGTGGATATTCGCAATGCACGTAATGCGGTGCTGGAGTCCCTGCCCCACATGCTGAGCAGCGCAGCTCTGTTGTGGGGTGTGCTGATGAAGGAGGAGAACCAGAGGCGCATGTTTGATTCAACTCCGAGCAGACACACTTCAGCCTCTGTGTACTTCAAGAGCTCAAAGGTGCGCTTTTGCCTCTACCCGTGTAGTTTAGTTTGTACATGCTAATACATTCTCTCTGCTGGACAGATTCTACGGCAGCGGATTCTTGAGTTCCTACTTCCTTTGACTGGACAGTATGGCACTCAGCTCATGGCCTCAGTGGCAGCAGTGTGGAGTAGTAGGAAGGGAAAACGGAGGCCCAAAAACAAAGTGCGTGAATTCATGACATGTTTTATATCAGGGGTGTCAAACTCATTTTGGTCAGGGGCTGAATAAAAAGACTAGGAACAGGCCAAAAGAAGAGACTGGATTTCCTTTTCTTATGATTGTTTTTTACATTATGGAGGTATTTTTGTTTGTTTAAAATACAAAACACTTTTTTTTGTTTAACTTTATATTTGATCCAGTTTTTATTTAACTATAAAACGTCTAATGATGTGTTGGGATAAATTTGGTTGTTTACTTGAGAAAATAGATGATGTAAACAAGTTATAATAATCATTTTAGAGGCCTGAGTTGGACATGCCTGTTTTAAAAGGGTTTCTCTTTCTATTTTTTGAAGGTACTTCCTGTGGCTAGTGAGCCTCGACTAACTTTAGTGGATCTGGTGAAATCACTACATTCTCTGAACACTGACACAATCATTCATTTGGCTAAAGAGGTGGTCAAAAAACCCCATCAGATCAAAGGAGATCAAGTGAGTTCTTACTGTGTGTATAATACTTGATCTTGAACTTCCCATTTAACTAATATACTCTTTTTCTTTTTTTTAGAAGACAGCCTTAGTTGACATTCCAATGTTACAGTTCAGCTTCACTTTTATTCAAAGGTATTTTCCTGAAGTCACTATCACCTAATATCTGAATGAAAAATGCAACAAGCACTAAAGATAGATGTTTGTTGTGCAGCATATCGTCTCAGGAGCTGCAGGACAATGTGGCTGCTCTCCTCACTCTGTTAAGAGAGTCTGCACAGTTCAACTTGACTCCACCAGGACATTTCTTACTGCTCGGGTTTGTATTCACACATAATGAACAAAGAAAACATTTAAAAGAATGAATAATAATCATTGTTCCATTGGCCTTTGCAGGATCCTGAATGAAGTTGTTGACAGACTTCCCAACCTCGACAACAAGAGAGATGCCAGAGATCTGCAAGTGAGATATTTCATTTATTTAAAAGATGAACGTATACTTCGTTTTGATAAATCAGGATGTATTTTCTCTGCAGGAGGTGACTCAGAGAATCCTTGAAGCAGTTGGAGCGATAGCAGGTTCATCTTTAGAGCAGACGAGTTGGCTCAGTCGCAGCCTTGGAGTCAAAGTTCAGCCACAAGTGTGCCAAGAAGCTGATGAAGCTGATGCAGATGTGGACGGGGATCTTAATGGTAAAATGAGATAAATGTGTTTCAGAAATGATTAAATGAATGTCTAAAAACATTTACCATCTTCACATTATTATCAGAGTCTGTTGCACAAGCGAGCACAATGGTGTCCTCATCGGCACCGTCTGTCTACAGTGTTCAGGCTCTTGTGCTGCTTGCGGAGGTAGGTTCTAGCCACTTTTAGTTATGAATTATTAGTTATAGCGTTAAATAACTAATTTATTGGTAATTTCAGATTTTATCTCCACTTCTTGATATGGTGTATCGCAGTGATGAGAAGGATAAGGCTGTTCCTCTCATTTCCCGTCTTCTTTACTATGTTTTTCCATATCTGAAAAACCACAGGTAGTTTGCAAGTTTTAACAAATGCAAGGCCTGTAAGACCACCAGAGGGCAGTGTTGAAAGTATTAATAGCTTATAACTTGTCTGTAAAAAAGAAATTGTTAATTCTTTCTTCACCTTGACTACTCTTTTGACAGCATTTACAATATTCCAAGCTTTGAAGCCGGGGCTCAGCTCTTGAGCAGTCTGAGTGGTTATGCTTACACCAAACGAGCCTGGAAGAAAGAAGTATTTGAGCTCTTTATGGATCCTCTCTTTTTCACAATGGAAGCCTCTTGTGCACCCAGGTGAGCATAAACATTAGCTTCACATCAGCTCCTTAATCTGAAAAACAAGTTCAACAACTGATAGCTTTATTGAAAAAAACTGTTTACAAAAACTATTTGAAAGTAATTTTCCTGATTTCAGTTGGAAATCGATTATTGACCACCTGCTGACTCATGAGAAGACCATGTTCAAGGACCTTATGGGTATGTATAACTTGTTGACTTGAATAGAATACATTATTTGTTTGAGGCCACTGTGGACAATTCCACTCCCATGTGTGGCTGCAGGTATGCAAAGCAGCTCTATGAAACTCTTTACCAGCGCAGACCAGAAACCTATGCTCCTGAAGCGACAGGCCTTTGCTATGTTCAGTGGAGAAATTGACCAGTACCATCTCTATCTGCCTCTGATACAAGGTAGTACAATATGAAGTCATGTGTCGTTAATAATGAACAAATGAAATGACCAATGGTTTACATGTAGAGCGCCTCACTGAAGCGTTGCGGATGAACCCCAGTGCAGCGGTTTCAGCTCAAATGTTTCTCATGTTCCGAGTTCTTCTTCTACGTATCTCATCGCAACACCTTACTTCTCTTTGGCCAATAATGGTCACTGAACTGGTAAATATTCATTTTAATGTTACTATTGTTTGGAGAAAAAAACAGTTTAAACATCTGCAAATGTTTTAGATCCGCATATTTGTACGATTAGAGAAAACTCTGCACATAGAGAAGGAGAACTCCAAGTACGTTTTTCATTACAATTCCAATCCAAAATATGGTTATGCTGTAATGCTTTATTCCTGTTTCTTTATCATAGACAGCCAAAAACTACCCGTGGAGATAAGAATGGACCAGTGAACTTTTCTCAGACAGAGTTGGACATGTACTTGTCGGCCTGCAAGTTCCTGGACACTTCTTTGGCCTTTCCGACTGAAAAGATTCCTCTGTTTCAGATGTAAGAAACATAAATGTTGTATCAATATTGTAACTATACTGATGTTTTGGCACTTTGTTCCGTATCTTTTCCCGGGTGCAGGTATCGCTGGGCTTTCGTGCCGGAGGTAGATGTGAATCGTTACAGTGGACCAGAAAATGCTCTGATCGAGGGCGAGCAGGAGAGCACGCCGCATGTTGTGAAAATACTAGAAGGAATTCAACAGCGCTATGGGGTACATTTACAGGACATTAGATACATTCTCTTCTAAAGATTTACAAATACAAGTAATGTTTGTTTCCAGGCACTAAACGGACTGACTGAGGAGTCCACAACAGAGGGTTTGGAGTTCCCTCTTCTTACTCAGCGCTGCTTAATGTCCATTACTCAGCTGGTGCCTTTCTTTTGCACTCTCTGCTGTTCTTTCCAGAGGCCTTACAGCGAGCCTATGCCTCACTTCCCGGTGGCAGAGTACCCAGCATTCAGTTCAGAAACTGTACTAAAGAGGCTTGAAAACACCATTGAGGAAGAATTCCTGGACTGTATGGAGAGTAAAAATTAGAGCTTATACTAAATCATTCACATTTGTTAAATGGGGTTTCCATTATTGCTATGTTGGATGCACTGTATTATCTGCCTTTAAGCCTCAACGCTTAGGCCACTGGTGAAGCTTTTATTCTAGCCATCCATTTAACCTTCTGTTTATCTCAAGAGCAGCCCTTGTTTTTACTAGATAAATAAAATGGTGTGGGGAAAAAATGATTGAAAACATTCTCAAGATGCAATCTAATGAGCCCACAAACTTGTATTTGAATATTTTCAACTTTGGGAATGTAATCTTTGTGGTCATTTGTGCAGCATTTTGTGGAGCTTTTGATTCTTGAGTTGAACACTGAATGTAACACACACATTCGCACACTGGATGAATGCCATTCACCTTGAGAAAGGTTTAAAGGGAAAGTTATTTTCAGAAACTGTATGTTTTCATGTTTAAAAGTGCTAAATGTTAATTTATTTGGAATACTTTCAGGACTTGTTCATTTTTGCAGAAATAATTAAACTGTTAAGACATCTGTGTTTTTACTGAATTATACCGTTTCCTTAATTTGTGATAAATGGTGAAAACTATCTGCATGGAATTAAAGCTGATAAGTCATTTATTAATAGCTAACTGAAATGTTGTGACCAGTTGAAAAAAGATCCAATTCACAGAAAGGGCAAGCACGATTTGAGACTCACGGCAACTTCCGGTGACTCGCGTGACTCAGGCGCTCTGAGTCACGGCTCAGCAGTCAGGGGTCGTGGCTCACGGTTATCAATTTCGCTTTTTAGGGGTATCTGTGGATTACTAATGACACATTGTGAATCTGGAGGCATATATTTACAAGTTATCAGTATGTTACACACTCTTCATCATCTGGTATGTGTTTATAGCTCTCCATGTTCGTTAACCACTGACTCACAGAGTCGCGGCTCAGCAGTCAGAAGTCGCGGCTCACTGTTAAAAATACCACAAATCTTTGCTTTTTAGGGGTATCTGGGAATTATTAGGGGCAACAATGACTCAATTGGCAGAGCTTTGGTCTTTGGACCTAATGATCGTGGGTTTGTGCCCCCCACAACCACCTGCTCCCACTGAAGCAAGACGCCCCATCGTGGTATCTATATACAGTCATGGGACCTCATGAACAAGTATGTGGTAGCGGCACAATACTAATATCGGTATTGGTGCATCCTTAGTAAAATTAACGGACTATAAAAAAATGTCAGTATTAGCAGTGCAGGTTTACAGTCATAGTGCAAGTGGTTGATTAAGTGATATAGGCCTAAATACAGATTATTGCATGTATTTGCAGGGTTTATTGCATATTCTAATGAAAAATGCTTTTTAGGGGTATTTATGAATTATTAATGTATTTGGATGAACATTTTCCATGTTATCAGTGCCTTATACATACTTTACCATCTGGTATGTGTTTGTATTACTCTCCATACAGTATATTGTTAACAAGTGACTTACGAGACATAAATCGCGACTCGTCTGACGACACCAGAGGGCGCTGTCTAATCTCATGTTGAATTCTGCACTACGTTGAACATCTTTCTTGCAATTTAAATGTCACCAAAATATCGAGGTAAGTTATTTTGTTTCGATTTGTCTTTTAATCATTTAGTGAACATTTTAAAGGGCATGACATTTAAACAGGAAAAAAAAAACTTGTGTAACATTCCTTGGTTGTAATTCTGTGGCTTCAAAGAATACTCAAAATTTGCAGCTACAGAGTAGAGTGTATACTCCATAGGACAAAAGATCAGGCAAGGTATATTGAAACACAGGTTTTGTCACATAAGAAATAAATAACCAAAAAAACCACTAAGAGATTATTATTTGTTATTTATTAATAATGCTCAAGGCATTTGAAAAAATACATACAATACACAAACAAACACAATTATATAAGCCACTTGTACCAAATTGTCCTTATAGTAATATAACGTGGATGACAAAGTGAGCCAAGTACCCAGAGTAGAGATTTCTTTGTCTTTGAACAAACACAAACATCTTTGCATTCCATTTCAGGGCATTGAAATCAGGGCAATCAGGGCATTTTCATAAAAAAAAAAATAATTATTGTTAAATTTGGGGATAGTGTGCTGAGGTGCACTTACTATAGTAAATAGAGAATTAAAGAGAAAGACCCCAATGACATAATTGTATATGATCATGTTACCTAACCCAGATGTTCAAAATATAGAATTCAAGTAACTTCTATTGGGGTAAACATTTTTGAACATGCTTATTTGAGTCTTTGGTGGCCCAGTGGCTGTATGATTGCTGCATGGCACCTGTAATTTCCCTCATAACTGCCTCCGTGATGATCCTGAATCAAATGTTTTAGGGTTTCCAAAAAGTGTATATCCCTTATACCCTTTAAACATTTGCGTCCTGGAGCATCATACAGGACACAAATGCAGTGGAAAATACAAGTGTCATGCTGCAGCCATCAAGAACAAATGTTCTCCTTAATGCCTCTCTGTAGTTAGCCGGTTATTCTTGAATTGTAGAACTACTGAGACAACACCTCAAGATGAGCCACACACAGAAGAGAAGGAAAACAAACTATATAAAAAAATGCACAACATAATTCACTTTAATAGACCAGTTAAAGAATAAAGATTCATTCTGGAGAGACCCACGACACAAAATGCTATTTGAAGTATTTTATTAAGCATGTTTGGCGCCCTAGGCCCCGGAGCGGTGCTGTTGAGCGCGGCGCTTGCTCGCATAGAGATCCCCCAAAGATGCAGGACTGCGATGGGATTGCAGGACGCACTGCGCAGGCCTGAGAGCATGAGTGCGAGGCTTCTCAGCACGGTTGCTCAGCCAGGCTGCGTCTGAGGGGAGCCTTCACCTGTTTGGAGCAGAAAGGGCCTGAGCGAGCTGAGAACATGAAGGCGGGGCAGCAGGGTGCATCATGTTCAGTCAGACACTGCAAGCTAGGAGCAGGGGAAATCCCTAGCGAGCTGAGAACATGAGCGCGGGGCTGCTCAGCACCCACTCCGGGGAGTAGAGTGCGAGTCCAGCACGGTGCATTGCACTATAACATGAACATTGTTTTTCCCCACAACAACATGAGCTGTTACTTTGTCTCCCAATACAGGAACATATATATACAACACATTCATTGATAGAGCTACGTTCACTGCTTTCAATGACTGAAGATGAACAGAGTGAGCTGTTCGCCAACCTTAAGGAATCCAGTACTGATAATGAGGAGGTAGAGGAATCCCCTTATCAATATTTACTGTTCACTTTTGAACTAAAAAGTGACTATGAAAGTTTCATGCAAAACTGTGTGGACGTTGAGAAACTTAAAGTGTTTGCTAAGTTCCATGTATAACAGTAATTGTAACGCTGTCTTTTTTATTGGATGATCACACAAAAAAATTGTATTGTGTATATTGTTCATTAAAGTTTGAAAAAGGAGTTTAACATTTTTTAAATTTATGTATTTTCCTCCTCCGTACTTTTTCCTGCAATGTGCTAATGTGTAGAATAAGCCCACACCTGTTCACTGTCACTCAAAAAGGTGTTGCTGCGGGTCCGAAGTATGGGTCATTCTCCGTCCTGCAAGACAGAGGCGTGTCGTGAAGTAAGCGTGTAAACTATGCCTCCAGATCCATATAGTCTCCTTAGAAATTCCCAGATACCCCTAAAAAGCAAAAATATGCTGTATTATTAACCGTGAGCCACGACTTCTGACTGCTGAGTCACGACTCACAGCTCCTGAGCTGCGACTCACAGCGCCTGAGTCAGTGGTTAACAGTAAATGGAGAGTGATATAAACACATACCAGATGGTGAAGAGTGTGTAACATACTGATTACATGTAAACTATGCCTCCAGATCCATATTGTGACATTAATAATTCCCAGATACCCCTAAAAAGCAAAAATATGCTGTATTTTTAACTGTGAGCCGCGACTCACAGCTCCAGAGTCAGTGGTTAACAGTACATAGAGATCTATACAAACAAATACCAGCTGATGAAACCGCAGTAAAGTGGGCCGCATCTTTCAGCTCCGAAGTAAAACGGCCCGCATCGAGAGAAAAACAGTGCGCGTTTTGTTGACTACTTACGGTAATAGCGGAACAGCCTTTCGGAGTCACCTTTTCTCCTCGAACAGAAAGCGCGCCGAGGAGACTCGTTTTTGTGAATAAACACATATTTGGAAAGCATTTAATTTGGTCAAAAAGTGAAATTTTCAGCAGCTGTCCATTTTTACTGTAAAGACTTGTGTGGCTTATTCCACTGGGTTCATGACCTCGATATACATAGTTCCCACAGACCAATGAATGTCACATGACCTCCTCGGAGACGCCATCTTTGATGGCACGCTGCTGTGTTTGTGCATTCCATTAAACAGAAGAATGAGAATAAATGTAGATATTCAAACGCAAATTGGAAAAAAAAGGGCAACTTTTGAGCAAATAATTGTATATTAATACAATGGCACCACAGTTTAACGTGCTACGGACATGTTTTACATATTTGATCAAATTATGCAGCAAAAATTAACAAGCAATGCAAACATTTCTCAAAAACTTTAGATTTAATACCAGTTGGAGCTCCATTTAATTATTTTAATTATATTAACAATTAATTTAATTAATGCTAATGCCACACGGACACTCTGGATTGCTGTTATTGTTTATTTCCGCGTTTTTGACCGTATGTTTTGGTGAATGGTGGGCAACTGATTTTTCCAGGCGTAAAGAGCAGTTTATTTTATGACACAGATCTTTTTACAGAAGCAATGCTGTTTGTGAACATTGTTTTAGCCCACCATAGAACTATTATTATCTATTTAATACATTTACGTTGCCCTCGAGAGCCTCGGACGCGACACCGATCCTCCTCATAATAAAGTAATCTAAATAATGAAACTCTCAAGTTACCAGCTATCAGCATACACAAGTTAGTACTGAGTAAATTACGTCTGTCAACACATTATAAGATACGATACGCACCTGACACAAAGTGCTCCGAGCATATTCTTG